TTTACCTGAGCTAACAAGACAAACAGCATGTTTTATAATTATTGCTTCCATGCTTTGTATACCCTGTTCCTTAGAGTAAATCTTTTACTGCCCCTCACCCATTTACTTGCATGTATCACATTCTCAATAAAAAGGCATGATGATTCCTAGTAGTTGTCACTCCTCAGAGAGCGATCTCTGAGGGGTGTCCGGCATAGGACGTGCATGAAAGGCATCGAGGCCTCTGTCTTCTGTTCACCTTCGCCGCCTTCGTCGAGATAACCCACCCACGCCGAGGCTGGACCCCGGCATAAAAATCCTCCATTTTTGTGTCCCTTAAATACCTTGCCTATTTTTCTCCTTGATTCCCTTCCTCTCACTTTCCCCCACCTCTCACCCTCCTCCCATACTGTCTCTTTATTATCATATGTAAAATAAAGAAGGTGAAACCTATTTGATGACTCAACATATTATAAAATTCTTTATGATGATGCAAAGGTAAGATACTTTACCATGAATCAAACTGGTTCTCTTTACTCTCTCAGTTTCATTATCCTCTTAAACCTTAACTAAAGACATAATTAAATGTATATTTTTTTCAACACATCTGGAGTTTTCAAAATGTCTATTCTCTCATTATATCCTTTTTACAGAATACAACACAGTGTTTAAAATCTAAACCTCTTTCCTAACCCACAAGAAAGTCCATAGATTTCTCTCTCTTCTCTCTCTCTCTCTCTATATATATATACATATACATATATATGGATTGCTATCTTACCTGATAAAATCACAATCATTCTTCAAGACTCAGATCAGCCTTTTCTTGTCATCTCCCCTAGTAAGACATAACTGGACTTTTTCTTGGGCTCAGTAATAATTTTGGTGTTCAATATTTAATTGAGCAATATCTAAACTATATAAACTATTCTACATTGAATACATATCTTTCTACAATATTTGATATACATGCTGAATTTTTGTTTTTATTTAGACATAAGAAGAATTAATAGAATCTTCTGGATAGTGAAATAAGTGTCCACTTTTGGACATGTTGAGTAAATGGAATAGGATCTGTTTGTAGGTATCAATATCTTTCCTGGGACCAGCAAGTGGCACAATCAATAAGGTACTGGACTCATATATGGTTAACCATGGTTTGAGTCTTGGACCAGGTGACTTGAAAATCACACTGGGCTTGTGTGTATGTGTGCCCCAAATCCCGGAAGAATGGAGGAGAAGGGATTGTGTCATGACCATCCTTCCTGGGAGGTGACTTTTCACTTTTTCTCTCTTTGAATCTCTTCATCTCCTCCTTTCCAGCAAGTGCACAGAATACCCTTTGACAAAAGTCTAAAAAAGAAAAAATAAGCCTTTTCTATATGATAGTCATCTCTCCAAGGGCTATTGAATAAATGGAGAGAAATGCACGATTATTGTAAAGAAGTACAAGTCTTTGCAATACAATGACATAAAAAAATTAAGACATATATTCAACAAATTAACAAATAAGGATATGTCCATAGAAGATAAAAACAAAGCCAAAATTTGGAGGAGCTAATCTATTTAAGAACATAAAAATCCATTAGACATTTTAAAATGTATAGCAAAATTCACCAGAAAACAGTTTTAAGCTCAAAAAAATTGTCATCCCATGAAAATTGTGTAAAAAGCGAAAGTATGTTTTTTTTTTCTTTTTTTTGGAGAGGTTTTCGATATAGGCTGCATGTGCTCGCCAGACAGACAGAGAGAGACATAGAGACAGAAAGCGATAAATCACCCCCCAGGGGGTATGGTCACGCCGTAATCTCTTCTCCTCCATTCTCCTCTCAGGATCTTGGGCACGCATGCACACGCACCCGGCATGAGTTTTAAGCCACCAGATCCGGGACGTGAACCACGGTCGACTACGTGGGAGTCCAGCGACATAGCCATTACGCTAACTGCTGGTTCCCAAAAGCGAAAGTATGTTTTGAACAGAGCATTTATAGAGATGCCAGAAAATAATTTTTGTGCTTCATGCATGATGAAATGAACGTTAATTAAGAAGTAAATTGTTTTCTACTTCAATACTTAATGAATGTGATCCCAAAACCAAATTGCTATTCACTGAAGCTAAATAGAAGAAAACTTAAGGTAAATAAGATTTTCAGAATCTTTACATTCTATTCAGGTTTGTTTTCTTTTGTTTATGCCATGGGGCATGTGCACTTGTGAGAAAGAGACAGAGACAGAGAGAGACAGAAAGTGAGAAATTGTCCCCAGCAGTCTTGGCCATGCTACAATCCCTTTTTCTCCATTTGCCTCTCAGGATTTGGAGTAAGCAAGGACATGTGCACAGCATTTCTCAAGTCACTGATCTGGGACTCGAACTATGCAGTTGGTTATGGGAGATTCAGTGCCCTGAGCACCATGCTTCCTACTGGCCCCAGTTTTATTTGAGTTTCAAAAGTATCATCTTACTGGGCAGCATTGAGTAGATCTTTCTTTGATAAAACAGGAGCAAGTTTTATTTGGAATTTTCCAAAGTATTGTAATAAAATATATCAGGCACAGCACATGATAAGATTTAAGAAGTCTACCCCAATATCTAGCCTAAGAAAAGTATATGCACCAACCCATGGCCTGGTGGTTAAGGAGGCTGGATACCACACATCTGACTGCATGATTCATGGTTCAAGTTCTTTTTTTATTTTTATTTTTTGGGTTGCAAAGAGATTTTACTCATCATAATATATGCCACATACCAGGTGAATTGAGAATACTATACAGGGCATCACCAACCGGTTCTGACCCACTGGTTTGAGAAATACACCAGCTATGTGTGAAAACATAATCAAACTCCAAAAACACAGGAGAGAGAGAGGACAGTAGATTGAGGTATGACCATAGCCCAAGGAGTGTGCTTTCTCATTCCTGC